AAAAAATAAACAAATAAAAAAAATTAATAAAAAATATATATATTTTTAAAAAGTAGAATTTTTGCTCACAAGACTCCACAGCTTAGAGGGAACATTGACGGAGAGTAGTTGGTTCGTCTTCGTCTCGGGGGGAACTTTTAACGGACCAAACAGACAAAAACAGACCCCTGCCCCAAGGGGATTACACATCTTGATTTTTGACACAGAGACAACAGAGAGGAAAAATATGGAGGATCCCGGACTCCCTGGCAGAAATTCCTGGAGATCTGGGGAGGGCAGGGTTTGTGGAAGGAAAGGGGGCCCAACAGGGCGTAACGCCACAGAGTCCACCCTCCAAAGCAGCCATTTCCTCCAGGGGAACTGATCTCTGTCGTCTGGAAATTGGCAGCAATTCCGGAGGATCCCCAGGCCCCATCTGGAGGTAACGGAGCTCACGCGATGCAGCGATTGGAGAACTGAGCTGGGATAGGGGAGACCTGAGTTCGAGTCCTCACTCAGCCACGAAGCGCACAGGGTGATCTCGGGCCAGTCACCCGCAAACAAACTCTCTGCCGATGCAGGGAGAAGAAAACGGAGGAGGAGAGGGACCACGTAGGTCTTCCTGGAGGTTATAATGAGACAGGCAGGTCAAGCCATTTTGGGGAGCAGATGCTAGGAAGGGGAACCTTTCTCTGACCCGGACCCAGCAGAACAAATAAACTAACGGGCCGATTCTCTAGAAGACAGCTTCGTTACACTGAGACGAGAATACTATAAGCGGCTGCAACTACGTCACACGCTATGGAGGCTTGGTTTGACCTACAGTTTCCAGGTCCTCGTGGGAATTGGGGGGGGGGGTTAGGGTTGCCAGATCCAGGTTGGGAAACTTCTGGAGATTTGGGGGTGACCCTCCAAAGCAGCCATTTTCTCCAGAGGAACGGATCTCTGTCGTCTGGAAATTGGCAGCAATTCCGGAGGATTCCCAGGCCCCATCTGGAGGTCATGGAGCTCACGCAGTGCAGCGACTGGATAGCTGAGCCAGGTAGGGGAGACCTGAGTTTGAGTCCTCACTCAGCCACGGAGCTCACAGGGTGATCTCGGGCCAGTCGCCCGCAAACAAACTCTCTGCCGATGCAGGGAGGAGAAAACGGGGAGCCTGGGGAGGACAGGGACCTCAGTGGATCACAGAGTTCACCCTCCAAAGCTCTACCACTGAGCTACAGCCCCTCTTCATGGCTCTCCAGGCTCTCAGGCTGGGGTCTTTCCCACCACCTCCTGCCAGGCCCTTTTAAACGGAGATGCCGGGGATTGAACCTGGGATCTTCTGCATGCCAAGCAGAGGCTCTACTACTGAGCCATGGCCCCTCCCCTGATCTCTGTTGTCTGGAGATGAGCTGTAATTCCAGGGGGTCTCCAGGTCCAACCTAGAGGCTGGCATCCCTGGACTGCAAGGATTATACAATTGCGGTCGAGGCAAGGTGAGGTTTTAAGAAGGGCGGGGGGACATCCTGCAGGTGTTCTGGGAAGCCATTCTAGGAACAAGACAGTTCTAGGTGGGTTGCCGTGTCAGTCTGAAACAGCAGAACAGATTTAGAGTCCAGCGGGGCACCTTTAAGACCAACAAAGGTTTATTCAAGGCATGAGATTTCGTGTGCAAGGCACACTTTATCAAATACATTGGAAAGGAAGCTAGATTTCAAACTTATGGACAGAGGCTGGACAACAAACCATGTAGCATGACGAAGATGCTTTAAGACTGAAGACAGCGATTGGACGGGGCGCGGGATGGACACTCAGAGGCAGAGATTTCATTTCTGCTTTCTTTTCTTTATTTTTTAAAAAATCCATGTTGCTAGTCCTGAAGGTGTCTGAATAGGATTGCCGGGTCTGGGTTGGGAAATACCTGGAGACTTTGGGGGTGGAGCGGGGGCGGGGTTGGGGGAGGGGAGGGGCCTCAGCGTACCACAGTGCCGTAGAGTCCACCCTTCAAAGCAGCCCTTTCCCCCAGGGGAGCTGATCTCTGTCGGCCGGAGACCAGTTGTAATTCCGGAAAATCTCCAGGCCCCACCTGGAGGCTGGCAACCCAACATCTTTTCCTGTGCCACTTTCCTGACCCCGGGGGGGGGGATCTGTTTGCCCAGCTGGGGGGGCTGTGTGTGTCGAGTTCAGCATGTGGCAGATTTCATTTTCGCTTTCTTTACTTAAAAAAAAACATCCACGTTGCTAGTCCTGAAGGTGTCTGAATAGGGCTGCCACGTCGGAGGGGCCTCCGCGTGGTCCAGTGACACAGAGTCCACCCTTCAAAGCAGCCCTTTCCCCCAGGGGAGCTGACCTCTGTCGGCTGGAGACCAGTTGTAATCAGTGTTCCTTCTAAGCTGAGTTAGTGTGAGCCAGCTCACAGTTTTTTAGCCTCCGGCTCACCCCTTTTTGGCTCCGCTCAGGAAGGAGGGCTCCAGAGCAAACTAATTTATGCCGCAGCCAAACTGCTCGCTCACCAGTTTAATGCCAGAAGCTCACACTGTGGAATTTTTGCTCACAAGACTCCACAGCTTAGAGGGAACATTGCCTGTGAGGTAGGCGGGGCTCAGAGAGCCAGGCCCCACCTGGAGGCTGGCAACCCAATCTCCCCAAGATTCAAGCTTCGGGGGGGTGATTACACTTTACCGGCTCAGGCGCTTCGGAGGGGGGGGCCAAGCCTAGACTGCAACCACTAGACTACAATCTAGCGTATTTATGTCATTCTAGAAATCAAAGAACCCCGTTTTAGAAATAAGATACGCATTATTGCAGCGCTCTAGACGGCGTGTACGGTAACTGCCTGCATACAAAGGGGAGGCCCCACGCTGACGAGTCTGTTATTAGTCCCGCAGATGGGGGGGGGGGCGCCTGCAAATACCGGCTGCGTGCGGAACTCACCCTGCCTGGGGCTCAGTACATCTTGCAGTTCTTCCTGATCGCAGGGATGAATGAAATCAAAGACGCTGTGGCCAATGAGCTCCAGCTAGTGGGAGGAAAAGGGAAAATAAGAATCGAGGGGGGGGGGAGTGGGGAGGTCGGAGGCAGTGCGCCCTTCCCATGAAACATGACGCCACATGCGAGGAACATGTGCGTGCGGGAGACCATCTCTGCCAAGAGCGAGCCGATTGGCTGGGGCATCCTCGGAGACGGCCAATCGGGAATCGCAACACCCCCCCCCCTTGTGTTCCCTTTCCCGTCTTCCCACGTATTGTCATTAAGAACTCGAAAGCCGAGAGTCACATACATATTGGGGAAGAAAAACGTCCTCCGAAGGCCTTTGATAGGCAGCAGAAAAGAATGCCTTTCGATTACAAAAGGGAAGACAAAAATAAAATGAAATAAAGGGAGACTATTTGGCAGAAACACTCAAGTCGACATGCTGGAAGCAAATATAATTACTCTGTTTTCGAAGGGAAAAATGAGGCTTTGGTGAATTTTGATGGGTGAATTGGAGCATTTAAACCTCGGCCCTGCTAAGGCAATTTTCCTTGGAGGGAAGGATTATAGTTCCAAAAAGTAAATAAATGGTGGCCGTCGTGTTTTAAATTCTCCAGCAGAACAGAAAATGTCAATTAAGAAATCTATTTGCTGTTGGGGTGTGTGTGTGTGTGGAATTAATAAGTCTCTCTGAAACGTACAGAGAAAAATGCCGGCATTGTTGAACAAGGTTGAAAGAACTTTTTGTATTTTTATTTTAAATCTGGAAAAGTTCCCAATGCTCAGGAATAATGAGCACAGAAAAGAAAGCCAAGCCCCTCTAAGAGCGTCAGAAGAGCCCTGGTGGATCAGACCAGTGGTCCATCTTGACTAGCATCCTGTCTCACACAAGTGGCCAGCCAGTTCCTCTGGAGGGCCAACAACAGGGCAGAGGCCGAGGCCTTCATAAGAACATCAGAAGAGCCCTGCTGGGTCAGACCAGTGAGGGCCCATCTAGTCCAGCATACTGACTTACACAGGGGCCAACCAGTTCCTTGGGAGGTCCAACAACAGGGCAGAGAGGCCGAGGCCTTCCTAAGACCCTAAGAAGAGCCCTGCTGGATCAGACCACAAGTCCATCCAGTCCAGCATCCTGCCTCATGCAGTGGCCAGCCAGTTCCTCTGGAGGACCAGCAGCAGGGCAGAGAGGTCAAGCCTTCAAAAGAACATCAGCAGAGCCCTGCTGGGTCAGACCAGTGACGGTCCATCTAGTCCAGCATACTGACTTACACAGTGGCCAACCAGTTCCCCTGGAGGTCCAACAAACAGGGCACAGAGGTCGAGGCCTTCCCCTGACAGGAACATCAGAAGAGCCCTGCTGGATCAGACCAGGGAGGGTCCATCTAGTCCAGCCTCCTGTCTCACACGTTGTCCAACTAGTTCCTCGGGAGGTCCAACAACAAGGGAGAGAGGCCGAGGCCTTCATAAGAACATCAGAAGAGCCCTGCTGGATCAGACCAGTGGTCCACCTAGTCCAGTATCCTGTCTCACACAGTGGCCAACCAGATCCTCTGGGGCAGAGAGGCTGAGGCCTACATAAGAACACCAGAAGAGCTCTGCTGGATCAGACCAGTGAGGGTCCATCTAGTCCAGCATACTGACTTACACAGTGGCCAACAAGTTCCTCTGGAGGGCCAACAACAACAGGGCAGAGAGGCCGAGGCCTTCCCCTGAGGTTGCCTCCTGGCTCTGGGATTCAGAGGATTAGGGCCTCTGAATGTGGAGGTTCCCCTCAGCCACCACAGCTAGTATACTTATCCGCCTGATGGATCGATCTAATCCCCTTTTAAAGCCATCTATGCCCGTGAGCCATGGCTCTTTTAGTAGCAGGAACTCTTTTGCATATTAGGTGAAACACCCCTAATGTAGCCAGTCCTCCAAGAGCTTACCGTAGCCCCTGTAAGAAGAGCTCTGTAAGCTCTTGGGGTATTGGCTACATTAGGGGGTGTCGCCTAATATGCAGAGGAGTTCCTGCTACAAAAAGAGCCCTGTGACCATCAATACATCTCCCGACGGCGAATTCCACGTCGCAATCACTTGTCGTGTAAAGAAGTATTCCCTTTTTGTCCGTCCTGACACTACCGCCCACCAGCTTTATTGGATACCCTAGAGTTCTAGACATTGGGGAGACAGAGAAAAAGTTCTCTTTCTCAACTCTCTCCATCCCGTGCATGATGTTATAAACCTCTATCACGTCCCTCCTTCGTTGTCTCTTTCCCAAACTGAAAAGTCCCAGACTCTTCAGCCTTTCTTCACAGAGAAGAGAAGAAGAAGAGGAGATTGGATTTATACCCCACCCTTCACTACCGGAAGGAGTTCAGGTGGCTTATACTCAATGCTCCCTCTAAGCTGTGTAGTCTTGTGAGCAAAAATTCTACTTTGTGAGCTACTGGCATTAAAATTGTGAGCAAGAGAGTTGGTAACTGCATAAATTAGTTTGCTCTGAAGCCCTCCTTCCTGAGCTAAGACAAAAATGTGTGAGCTGGAGGCTAAAAAACTGTGAGCTAGCTCACACTAACTCAGCTTAGAGGGAACACTGCTTATAGTCCCTTCCCCTCCCCACACCCTGTGAGGTAAGTGGGGCTGAGAGAGCCCCCTCGAGGACTGCCCGTGACAGAACAGCTATGAGAGAACTTGTAACTGACCCAAGGTCACGCCAGCAGCTGCACGTGGAGGAGTGGGGAATCGAACCCGATTCTCCCAGATTAGAGTCTGCACCCCTAACCACTACACCAAACTGGCTCTCAGGTAGGTGGGGCTGAGAGTTCTAAGGGAACCGTGACTGGCCCAAGGTCACCTTCGTGTGGTGGAGGAGTGGGGAATCGAACCCGATTCTCCCAGATTAGAGTCTGCACCCCTAACCACTACACCAAACTGGCTCTCAGGTAGGTGGGGCTGAGAGTTCTAAGGGAACCGTGACTGGCCCAAGGTCACCTTCGTGTGGTGGAGGAGTGGGGAATCGAACCCGATTCTCCCAGATTAGAGTCTGCACCCCTAACCACTACACCAAACTGGCTCTCCAGAGTTTATAGAACACTGAGATTGCAAGAGACCAGTTTCGTTGCATATCAAGTTCCCAAATCCTGTCCCGCACTCGAAGGTCAGTGTTGCAGAATGGGGTAGAATTGATGGACTAGAAATGGGCAAACCTGGTTTCGGATCCTCCTCACGGAGTGGATCTTGGGCTGGTCTTTCTCACTCAAGCCAAATAACCCAACCTCGCAGGGTTGCTATGCGGACAAAATGAATAGGGGCACAACTTAATGCTCCCTCCAAGCTGTGGAGTCTTGTGAGTGGAAATTCTACTTTGTGAGCTGCTGGCATTCAAGTGGTGAGCGAGCGATTGGGCTGCTGCATGAATTGGTTTGCTCTGGAGCCCTCCTTCCTGAGCGGAGACAAAAATGTGTGAGCCGGAGGCTAAGACACTGTGAGCTAGCTCACACTAACTCAGCTTAGAGGGAACAATGGACAAGACTATACACCTACCTAAGCTCCTTGGAGTTTAGTTCAGAAAAGAGACGATTCAGGGAGGATATGATAGAGGTTTATAAAATTATGCATTGGGTGAAGAGAGCTGATAGAGACCACTTTTTCTCCCTTTCCCAAAATGCTAGAATTCCAGGGCATCCGATGAAGCTGACGGGCAGGAGGTTCAGAATGGACAAAAGGAAACACTACTTTACACAGAGAGTGAATAAAATGTGGAACTCACTGCCAGATGATGCAGTGATGGCTGCAAGAATAAACAGCTTGAAAAGAGGATTACACAGATCCATGGAGGACAAGTCTACCAGGGGCTACGAGCCATGGTGGCTAAATGGAACCTCCACATTCAGAGAGAGTCAGCCTCTGAATCCCAGTGCCAGGGGGCAACCTCAGGGGAAGGCCTCGGCCTCTCTGCCCTGTCTATTGGTCCTCCAGAGGAACTGGCTGGCTACTGTGTGAGACAGGATGCTGGACTAGATAAACATATGGAGCAAAGGTCCATCAGTGGCTATTAGCCACAAGGTATAGATAGGGACTCTGGGGCAAGTGATGCTCTGTCATCTTGGTGCTTGGGGGGGGTCAACAGTGGGAGGGCTTCTAATGTCCTGGCCCCACTGTTGGACCTCCTGATGGCAGTGGTATTTCTGGCCACTGTGTAATACAGAGTGTTGGACTGGATGGGCCTTTGGCCTGATCCAACATTGGGGTCTCTTATGTTCTTATGACCACTGGTCTGACCTAGCAGGGTTCTTCTGATGTTCTTCTGAAGGCCTCGTCTCTCTCTGCCCTGTTGTTGGCCCTCCAGAGGAGCTGGCTGGCCGCTGTGTGAGACAGGATGCTGGACTGGATGGACCCTCACTGGTCTGATCCAGCAGGGTTCTTCTGATGCTCTTATCAGGGGAAGGCCTCGGCCTCTCTGCCCCATTGTTGGCCCTCCAGAGGAACTGGCTGGCCCCTGTGTGAGTGTGAGACAGGATGCTGGATTAGATGGACCTTCACTGGTCTGACCCAGCAGGGTTCTTCTGATGTCCTTATCAGGGGAAGGCCTCGGCCTCTCTGCCCCATTGTTGGCCCTCCAGGGGAACTGGCTGGCCTCTGTGTGAGACAGGATGCTGGATTAGATGGACCTTCACTGGTCTGACCCAGCAGGGCTCTCCTGATGTTCTTCTCAGGGGAAGGCCTCGGCCTCCCTGCCCTGTTGTTGGCCCTCCAGAGGAACTGGCTGGCTACTGTGTGAGACAGGAGGCTGGACTGGATGGACCCTCACTGGTCTGACCCAGCAGGGCTCTTCTGATGTTCTTATCAGGGGAAGGCCTCGGCCTCCCTGCCCTGTTGTTGGCCCTCCAGAGAAACTGGTTGGCCCCTGTGTGAGATGGGATGCTGGACTGGATGGACCCTCACTGGTCTGACCCAGCAGGGCTCTCCTGATGTTCTTCTCAGGGGAAGGCCTCGGCCTCCCTGCCCTGCTGTTGGCCCTCCAGAGGAACTGGCTGGCCCCTGTGTGAGACAGGAGGCTGGACTGGATGGACCCTCACTGGTCTGACCCAGCAGGGCTCTTCTGATGTTCTTCTCAGGGGAAGGCCTCGGCCTCCCTGCCCTGTTGCTGGCCCTCCAGAAGAACCAGTTGGCCCCTGTGTGAGACCGGATGCTGGACTGAATGGACCCTCCCTGCTCTGACCCAGCAGGGCTCTTCTGAGGAGCGGTAAGATAGGAAGCCTCTGTACAAAGCCAGCAGAAGTGCTGGTGGCACGGACCCGATGCTCCAGCCCAGCAACTCCCACACCGCTAGGCACACGGCCCCTGTGCTGCTGCTGCTGCTGCGAGTTCAGATCCTGCTTCTCCAGCCGTGGCAGATCCGGCGTCCCCTCTGCTGCCTGCCCCAGCCACACATTCCCCACCGGTCTGGCAGAACAATGAAAGAACCAGGCTCAGTCATCCACCCTGAGCGGTGCCCTGCTTGCCTCCCAACGCTGCCGGGCAGCCCGAAAGCAGCCCCCTCACCTGGCTGAGGCCCAGGTGCTTGTTGACATTCTCGGAGAGGTAGATCATGTCACCTTCCTCTGTCAGGACCATGAGGAAGCCGTCCAGGGCCTTCAGGTAATAGGCGTCCACCTGCTCCTCCGCTTCCACTTCGTTCTTCCAGTCCCCTGCAACAAAGACACAGGAGAGAGTAGGGGCGGGGAGCAGGACTGTTCACCGATCGGCGAAGCGCGCCCCTGGACGGATCCGCAACCCCCCGATCCAAAGAACGCCCTGACCCCCGAGACTGCGTCCGGATGAACGCAGGCCTCATCCTGCTTTCCCAGAATTCCCTGAAAGAAAGGCTCCCTCCCGCAACAAGGAGCCTGCTTCGAGCAGGCGTCCCCAACGCGGTGCCCGTGGGCGCCATCTGGCACCTTTCCTGGTGCCCGCCTAGTGTTTTTAGAAAGTAGGCAGGGCCAGGTGGAGCTTCTGCCCACCAAGGATTCTGATGGGCTTTTGGGAGTTTGATTGGCTGTGGAGGTTTCTTTTTTAAAAAATACATTGCTTTGGCAGAAGCTGCCATCGGTGCACGAAGATCTTCACCGTGTGATCAAAGGGGAGCTGTGGCAGAACGCCAAAGGTGCCCATGGGCTGGAAAAAGCTGGGGACTTCTGGCTAAGACCACTGTATGCACAGAGCACTGGAGAATAACAAAGGAAGAAGAAGAAGAGGAGGAGGAGGAGATTGGATTTATACCCCGCCCTTCACTACCCACAGGAGTCTCAGAGCGGCTCACAATCTCCTTTCCCTTCCCCTCCCCACAGCAGACACCCTGGGAGGCAGGTGGGGCTGAGACAGATCTCTCGAGGACTGCTCCTGAGAGAACAGCTCTGAGAGAACTTGTGACTGACCCAAGGTCACACCAGCAGCTGGACGTGGAGGAGGGGGGAATCGAACCCCGGTTCTCCCAGATTAGAGTCCGCACTCTTAACCACCACACCAAACTGGCTCTCAAAAAGGACGTGTGGGAGGGGTGAGTAGGCAGAGGAGGAAAGGAGATGCCAGTTGGGGGGCAGAGGCGAAGGGGCCCAGACATCCTGCCCTGGAGCTGGCCCTGGACCCCAGAACGTAGTCTGGGGGGGGGGATGAGATGCGTCCCCAGACTTTATACCCATCTCCCAGCACACTAGAGAGGTTGCAAGCAATGCTCCCTCTGAGCTGTGGAGTCTTATGAGTAAAAATTCTATTTTGTGAGCTACTGGCATTAAATTCGTGAGCGAACGAGTTGACTCCTGCATAGATTAGTTTGCTCTGGAGCCCTCCTTCCTGAGCCGAGACAAAAACCTGTGAGCTGGAGGCTAAAAAAAACTGTGAGCTGGCTCAGGGTGACTCAGCTTAGGGGGCACACTGGTTGCAAGTCGGTCCCACCCCCCACCCCACCCTGAAGGGGGCACACGCGGGGTCCTTACCGGAGGTCAGCAGCTTGTGCATCCTCAGGTAGCTGATGGTCAGGCGCATGATGGAGGCCTTGTCCAGGTGGGCGCTGACCCCCCGGGCGAAGGGCAAGGTGTGGGCCAGCTGGTAGAACACTTCCGTCTCCTTGCTGCGGCGGCATCGCGCTGCGTCCCGCGACTTCTCCTTCCGGATCTCTGTGGTGGATCTGCGGGGGAGGAGAGAGCGCACGGGGTCAAATCCGGCATCTTGTGCCGAACCATTCCGGGGTCCCACCAAACCAGCCGCCAGCGCGCCTCGCTTCTGAAGCCGGCCTTCGGAGACGGAGCTGCTCTGGGAACGGACACTGCCCGATCTGAGAGGTTAGCGGCTCCCCCAAAGGGGATCCGGTCAGCAGTGTATCGCCTGAACAATGACGGGGGTCCCCAACATGGCGCCCCTGGGCACCACAGCACCCGCTGACACCATTCCTGGTGCCCGCCAATCGCTTTTAGAAAGTGGGGAGGGACTAGGTGGAGGGCTTGCCCAGTGGCGCTTCTGGGCGACTGTGCGGACAAAAAGGCTGTTGCGGGTTTCTGGGTAAAAGGTTTCCCTTGCTCGAAAGCCAGTCGAGTCCGACTCTAGGGTTGCGGTGCTCATCTCCGTTTCCAAGCCGAAGAGCCAGCGCTGTCCGAAGACGTTTCCGTGGTCACGTGGCCCGGCATGACTAGATGCCGAGGCCCACGGAACGCTGTTACCTTCCCACTGAAGTGGTACCTATTTCTCTACTTGCAATTTCTTGCTTTCAAACTGCTAGGTTGGCAGGAGACAACTTAGTTACTCCCTTAAATCCACTGGTTGAAAGTTCTTTCTCCCCACAAACCACAGAGAAGTTTTCTAAACAATGGTTTAACCCTGGATTATAATCCCAGTTCCTGGGGAAGACGTTTAGCTCAGGACTGGGATCCCAGCTGCCCAGTCCAGGCAGGGGGTCCCCCAATTTGGAGCGGGCTTCCCTGCTGCCAGCCAGGTGGCTGGCGGGGAAAAGTCCCACCCCCAAATGACATTTTTGGGGCACTTCCGGTAAAACCAGCAGTATCACCCCGACACGATGACATCACCCAGGTGTGCCATCATCATGCTGGAAATGTGTGGGGGGACATTCTGGTATCTGGACAAACTCTATGGTTTTGAGGGCAAAAGACCCATAAAGTTTCACCCAAATTCCAGAGCATCCCTGTGTGATGTTTCCAGCATGATGACATCACTTCTGAGTGATGCCACCGCATTGGGGACATTGTGTGACATCCCCCACCTCCCAGAATGCCCCCAAAGCTCCCCACTGGCAGAGGTAAGGGACCTGGCAACCCTACCCAGGAACCTGAATTCGGCCATCAGAGTTAACTAGGGTTGCCAGTCTCCAGGGGCTGGCTGGAGATCTCCCAGAATTACAACCGGTCTCTAGGTAAAAGAGATCTTTTCCACTGGAGAAAATGGCTGCATTCAAAGATGGACTCTATGGTATTACACCCCTCTGAGGTCTATGCCCAAACCCTGTCCTCCTCCCGGCTCCACCCCCAAAATCTCCAGGAATTTCACAGTTTAGATCTGGCAACTCTACCTGGGTTAACTGTAATGAAAAGCAGAAGAGTTCAATCATATGAGAAGAAGGAAGAATGCAACATCAAGCCAGTTTCATGCCCACCACTAACAAAACATTGTTTCTGCATAACTTGTGAATAGTGTTTCTCTGTTGAGGCCATAACCATACAAATAAAATATCTAAATCTATTTAAGATATAGATGCTTATGTATAACACATACCACAGTACATTTTAGGTAGTGCATGGTCATAATTTAAGCAATTATTTTAAAACTTCGGTCTGATCCAGCAGGGCTCTTCTGTAGTTCATATGAAGGTCTCAGCCCCCATGCCCTGTTGTTGGCCATACAGAGGAGCTGGTTGGCCACCATGTGAGGCAGGATGCTAGACTAGATGGACCACTGGTCTGATCCAGCAGGGCTCTTCTGTAGTTCATATGAAGGTCTCAGCCCCCATGCCCTGTTCTTGGCCATACAGAGGAGCTGGTTGGCCACCATGTGAGGCAGGATGCTAGACTAGATGGACCACTGGTCTGATCCAGCAAGACTCTTCTGATGTTCTTATCAGGGGAAGGCCTCGGCCTCTCTGCCCTGTTGTTGGCCTTCCAGAAGAACTGGTTAGCCACTGTGTGAGACAGGATGCGGGAGTAGATGGACCACTGGTCTGAACCAGCAGGGCCCTTCTTCTTATCCTGTTCTTCTCAAAAGCTCAAGCCAGCATACACCGTTTCCCCATCTCCTTCCACTTGCTGTTCAAAACAATCCTGCAAGGTAGGGTAGGGCGAGAAATTGGGATTTTAGCCCAAGAGGACAAACCTCCTCCTTTAGCATCAGTTTATGCCCCTCGTTCTAACCACAGCACCACACTCGTTTCTCTTTGAGGTTATCAGGTGTAAAACCACACACACAAAGTTTCTGAAACACACCCCGAATATCCCATTACGATGGCACATTGTCCACCTTCACGGAGGACTGTGATTTGCCTCGAGACTCATCTGGAAATGCAGACGGTAAAGGAAGCTGCTAAACACACGAAACAAAACCAAGTTCACACGCTCTCCCACAACACCCATCTACAGCCCTATCTATCACACGCACCCCTACTTTCCCTCCATCAGGGCAATATCCTGGGAGTTCTCTCCCTTTTACCCTCAAACTGATCTTTCAGGGTAGGCCAGAAACAAGTGACAGAGAGCAAGGCCAGCCAGCCAAGTTATCGTGACAAAACAGGAACCCGGGTTTTCCCGCCCGGCTCTAAACAAGACTTCGCACTCAGTGCCGGCTCCATGAATTTAACCAGGAAGAGGTGGGGTTCACAAGCCATTTGTGCTCTCGTGCGGCCTCCAACCTCCTCAGGTGCTCCGTGCCAAAAGTTCACAATCCTGGCCAAAGTTCCCTCTAAGCTAAGATAGTGTGAGCTAGCTCACCGTTTTTTAGCCTCCAGCTCACACGTTTTTGCCTTAGCTCAGGAAGGAGGGCTCCAGGGCAAACTAATGGATGCAGCAGCCAAATTGCTCGCTCACGGCTTTAATGCCAGCAGCTCACAAAGTAGAATTTTTGCTCACAAGACTCCACAGCTTAGAGGGAACATTGGTCCTGGCTGACCCCCTGGATCCGGCCCCAAATACACACTGGCTCCAACGGTGTACAAAAACTGCACAAGCAATCTCCACCAAGAGCTACGCATCTTAGCCACGCACTTAACACTAAACGCGCCCTTTCCGCAACTGCGTATCCCTCCCTCAAGACGCACCCCCACAACCAACGTACGCTCTTTCCACAACTGGAAAACACAATCGTTACACCAGAGAAGCACACACGCCCCGCTCGCTTACAGAACAGAGCGTCTCCCGACAGGCTGATACATGGCGAACGCTCTGCCCCACCCCGGGTCTTCCCGCAACGGGCCCACAAAAACAGAAGTCCCGCCTAGAAACCCGTTCTTTAAAAAAAATGAAATGAACATCTCGGACTTTTCTTCCAAGACGATTGCAGGGAAATCCCATACAGGAAGAAAGAAACCCACGTAGAGCAAGGAAGAGGTGCAGATGGATTAGAGGTTGCGGTGAGAAGAGCCCACGAGGATAGTAGGTTCCTTGCCACAGTCAAAAGCTATATCCCAGTATTTGGATTCCAACTATTTCGATTGAGCATGCCGGTCAATTCTAGCCCCCCGGTATCCGCCCCTCACTCCCGTCTTCATAAAGATACCCCAATTCTAATCTCTTTCCTGCACCCCAAACGTTTTGCCTGATCCTGCACTATTTAGGTGGAGTAAGTCTATCTCAGCTCTTCCCGCAGCATTTCCTTCCAGATCAATTGCCCTCTCCGGGTCCAGAACCCGGTTCTCGCAAGTCCCCCGTTTTGCTCGAACTATTCCAGACACCCTAACCTCCCAAAGCTCTATCCTCTGCGCTGGGAACCCCACTGAACCATTTCTTTACAGATGTCATGGATGAAAAAGACACAGGCAAAGAGAAAAGAGGGGCTCGACCCCTAAATCAATTGCCCTCTCCGGTTCCAGAACCGGGTTCTCGCGTGTCCCCTGTTTTGATCTAGCTATTCCAGACACCCTAGCCTTCCAAAGCTCCATCCTCTGGGCTGACATTCCACAAATCCAGTGAGTTCCCAGGGCTCAGTCACCCCAGAGAACCCCTCTGAGTCGTTTCTTTACAGATGCCACGGATCAAAAAGAAACAGCCAAAGAGAAGACAGGGGCTTGACCCCCCGATGCAGCACACTACAGATTTGCCCTAGAACCCACACAAACAAGCAACCCCGAAGTTCCACAGGATCTTGAAGAGAGAGAACTGGCCCCATCAAACGGATGCCCGTACTACTCCGCAAGATCCCCGTTGCAAGCGTGCGCACCCCGAACGCAGGGAGTGCCATAAAACGTGAGCCGCGGGTCCCTGGAAGGCCACTGCCGCCTCACAAGGGAGTCCCCACACAACTCGTCACACTGTTCCCCACAAAAGCAAGGCTGCAGAGAGCCCTGCAATGCCGCAACCCTGGAATCGGAACGCGTGCCCCGTAGCATGAAAGAACGCTGCATAAACAGATCACGCGCACAAACGCCACTGTGTCCCGTCCAGAAACTTTCACCCCCCCTAGCCCGCATCCAGCCGCAGACAGCCTTCCGTCTCCCCTCACGTGCCAAAAGCACCGTGGCCCTCACCTGTACCATCTCCTGCCCCTCGGCTTCTTCCGCCGCCGCCGCATGCCCTGTGCGCTCCCGCCGGTTCACTCCTGGCGAAGAACAAGCGGGACTTTCAGCTCCCCATGCCTCCCACGGCATGCTTCCACCGTCCCTCCCCACTCCGCTGGTCCCATTAAGGGTACAGCCTGTTCCATTTCTGTCTCCTGGCTCCCTGCCCACGGCTCCGGGCGGCTGAGAACAAGCTGTTTCGCCGCTGGGTACCGCGGCAGTCTTATCTGCTCTCGTTTTACTCATAGGGAAGAGGGGTCACGGAGGAACCATGGCCCCTGGCCAGGTGGGCCGCAGGGCACCAGACGTGGCGGGCGGCGAGCGGAGACTCGTGCGCGGTCACGTGCAAAGAGGCCGCGCGGCTGGGCATGGAAGGGGTGGCAGCCGAAACTTCACCTAGACCGACTGATTGCAACCGAAATTTCGTCAGCTAGCCGAGCGAGCGAGAGGAGACGGGGGAGAGCTCCGGTGTGACTCCCCTGCCCTCGAGAGAGCGGCAAAGGGCTCGGCGGGATACAGAATCTCTGCGGGGTTTTTGAGAAGCGACACGGGGAGACGGAGGTTCATTTCTTTCCTGTTTTTAAAGCGTGATGCTTTCCTGGAAGGGGAATCCTTTGACAATATTCCCAGGCACAGGGGTACGGAACTCTTCCTATACCGGCAGCTTTCCCGCCTCCCCCAACCAATGCTCCCTCTAAGCTGTGGAGTCTTGTGAGCAAAAATGCTACTTCATTAGCCACTGGCATTAAAGTTGTGAGTAAGCCATTTGGCTAGTGCATGAATGAGTTTCCTCTGGAGGAGCCATCCTTCCTGAGTGAAGACAAAAACCTGTGAGCTGGAGGCTAAAAAACTGTGAGCTGGCTCACACTAACTCAGCTTAGAGGGAACACTGTCCCCGACTGGATCCCACCCCCTACCCCTGGCTGAGATCTAAAAATGTTATGTTTGCCCTGAAATTAGCTAAACTCTGCAGATAAACAGAGGCACACTTGCCTCATGAGGTCCAAAAATGACCCTGCGTTTCTAAATACCTTTCGGGGCAAAACCCCTAAGGTGAAACAATTATTTATTTGATTGACTTTACCCTGCCTTTCTCCCCAATGGAAACCCAAGGTGGCTTATGTAATCCTCCCCTCCATTTTATCCTCACAACAACCCTGCGAGGTAGGTCAGGCGGAGAGCATGTGACTGGCCCAAGGTCACCCAGCGCGCTTCCATGGCACAAGTGCAAATTCGAACCTGGATCTTCCCAGATCACGGTCCAACACTTTAACAACAACACCTTCCTGGCTCTCCAAACAAAAGGCACCATTTCCACCCACCCCCGCTCCCAGAACTTTTGCTGCAAAAAAACCAATGTGGGCCTTCTGTTCCTGACGTTAATTTTGGAGGAATGTCTTTCCCAAAGGCAGCCCTTTGTGGAGGAAGCCTCAGACACTGCCTAGAGAACCGATAAAACAGACTTTAAGAAAGACGTGACTGAGGCAGTGTTCCCTCTAAGCTGAGTTAGTGTGAGCCAGCTCATAGTTCTTTAGCCTCCGGCGCACACATTTTTGTCTCCGCTCAGGAAGGAGGGCTCCAGAGCAAACTAATGGATGCAGCGGCCAAATCGCTCGCTCACAACTTTAATGCCCGCAGCTCACCAAGTAGAATGTTTGCTCACAGGACTCCACAGCTTAAAGGGAGCATTGGACTGAGGAATGCAGCAGCTGCTACGGCCAGATAAAGTCGAGGTTCACCCAGCCTAACATGAGATGCTTCAGGGGAACAGGAGCAGGGGGGCAATAACCGTGTGTCCCCCCCGGTAATCCAATCTGATCTATCACTTTTGGGTTTCTGATTCAGTCAGGAGGAGGAGGAGGAGGAGGAGGAGATTGGATTTATACCCCACCCTTCACTACCCGAAGAAGTCAGAGTGGTTTACAGTCTCCTTTCCCTTCCCCTCCCTACAACAGACACCCCGTGAGGTAGAGTGGCCGGCTGGGAGAGCTCTTTTGAGAATTGCCCTTGAGAGAACTTGTGACTGACCCAAGGTCACACCAGCAGCTGCATGGGGAGGAAGAGAAGAGATTGGATTTATACCCCGCCCTTCACTACCCGAAGAAGTCTCAGAGTGGCTTACAATCTCCTTTCCCTTTCCCTCCCCACAACAGGCACCCTGTGAGGTAGGAGGGGCTGGGAGAGCTCCGACAGAAACTGCCATTGAGAGAACAGCTCTGAGAGAACTTGTGATTGACCCAAGGTCACCCAGCTGGCTTCATGTGGAGGAGTGGGGAATCGAACTTAGTTCTCCCAGATTAGAGTCCGCGCTCTTAACCACGACACCAAACTGACTCTGGAGTCAAAGCTCGTGCCCTGAAAATCTTGTTGTTCTCTGAGGTGCCCACACTTGATGAAATCCCAAAAAGGTGAAGGGGGGGCGGCAGACCTCACTCACAAACCTCTTCTGGTGTAGCAGACAGAGTGGCGGACTAAAATGCTGGGCGACCCGGGTTTGAATCCCTGCTCCTACCACAGAAACTTGCCGGGTGGACCCTGGGCCCGTCACAAACTCTCGCCCTGGCCTACCTCGCAGGGCTGTTGCTGTGAGAAAACGGAGGAGGGGCAGAGCGATGTTCTGAAAGCTGCTTTGGGTCCCGATGGGGGGGAAGAAAAGCAAGATGTAAATCAATCAATCCAAACAGATGTATAAGAAACCCTGAAAAATAGTCCAGTGTTCCATCTAAGCTGAGTTAGTGTGAGCTAGCTCACCGTTTTTTAGCCTCCGGCTCACACATTTTCGTCTCAGCTCAGGAAGGAGGGCTCCAGAGCAAACTAATTGATGCAGGAGCCAAATCAGTCGCTCACAACTTTAATGCCAGTAGCTCACAAAGTAGAATTTTTGCTCACCAGACTCCACAGCTTAGAGGGAGCATTGGCAACCACCAGTGTTCCCTCTAAGCTGAGCGAGTGCGAGCCAGCTCACAGTTTTTTAGCCTCCGGCTCACGCATTCTTGTCTCCGCTCAGGAAGGAGGGCTCCAGAGCAAAACAATTTATGCAGGAGCCAAATTGCTCGCTCACAACTTTAATGCCAGTGGCTCACAAAGAAAGATTTTTTCTCACAAGACTCCACAGCTTAGAGGGAGCATTGTGTCGGCATCTTTGTTTTGTGAGGTTTTGAGGAAAGGGGTTGAGACAGAGGAAGCCAAAGCCAGCGGCCACCAGATCGCTGTGAGAACCATTTTTCAAAGGATGCTCCCACTGAAGGCGCTCACACGCACGCGCAGTTATTTGAAATATTTATCCCCTGCCTCTTTGTGTAGCCGCATCTGACACAGACTCCTAGGGAAACCACAAAAATAAGAATATGCAGAATGCAATAAAAACATCAAAGGGGCACCAACGGCCACAAAGCACATGCCGATGCTGCCAAATGAAAAGTCCTAAAAGCAACTTTAAAGGACCCTTTAAAAAAAAATAGTATGAAATGGCTAACAAGGACCAGGTCGTTAAATGCCAACCACGCTGGGAGGGGCGGTCTAAAAGGCTGCAAAGCATCAAAACTGTCATTGCCTGGGGAACCCATCAAGCTGCCTTATACTGAATGAGACCCCCCCTGGTCCAACTAGGTCAGTATTGTCTACTCAGACTGGCAGCCGCCTCAGGCAGAGGTCTTTCATACCACCTCCAACCTGGTCCTTTTAACTGGAGATGCGGGGGATTGACCTTGGGACCTTCTGCATGGCAAGCAGAGGTTCTACCACTGAGCTACAGCCCCACTTCATGGCTCTCCGGTTTCTCAGGTGGAGGTCTTTCCCATCACCCCCTGCCTGGTCCTTTTAACTGGAGATGCCGGGGATTGAACCTGGGACCTTCTGCCTGCCAAGCAGATGCTCTTCCACTGAGCCACAGCCCCACTTCACGGCTCTCCGGGGTCTCAGGCAGAGAGGTCTTTCCATCACCTACTGCCAGATCTTTTGACCGGAGATGCCGGGGATTGAACCTGGGACCTTCTGCCTGCCAAGCAGATGCTCTGCCACTGAGCTACAGCCCCACTTCATGGCTCTCCAGGGTCTCAGGTGGAGGTCGTTCACATCACCTCCTTTTAACTGGAGATGCCAGGGGTTGAACCTGGGACCTTCTGCCTGCCAGGCAGAGGCTCTTCCACTGAGCCACAGCCCCTCTTAGCAGCTCTCCAGGGTCTCAGGTGGAGGTCTTTCCCATCACCTACTGCCTGGTCCCTTTTAACTGGAAATGCCAGGGGTTGAACCTGGGACCTTCTGCCTGCCAGGCAGAGGCTCTTCCACTGAGCCACAGCCCCTCTTAGCAGCTCTCCAGGGTCTCAGGTGGAGGTCTTTCCCATCACCTACTGCCTGGTCCCTTTTAACTGGAAATGCCAGGGGTTGAACCTGGGACCTTCTGCATGCCAAGAAGATGCACTGAGCCATGGCCCCTCTTTACAGCTCTGCAGGGTCTCAGGCTGAGGTCTTTCACATCACCTCCTAACTCAGGAGTGTCGAAGTCATTTGTTACGAGGGCCGGATCTGACATAAAGGAGACCTTGTTGGGCCGGGCCATGTGTGTCATAAAATGTGATGCCAGGTAGCGGAGATATAAACTTTATAAAGGACACAAAGGTGTTTGTTTTTTTTACTTGGAATAAAAACATGCTTAAAACATTAGCTCCGCAAGCTGCAAAATTACTCTTGATGTACTGACATTCACCACAGAAATCTCATGCTTGGAGTTCTGAGTCTCGGGCCCAGGTGAAAACATGAAATGGCTGAGTGATTTAAGAGAGTCTGGTGGTGATGCAGCAGCAGCAGCAGAACTGGAAGCAGGAGATGGCCAGTTCCACTGCGGGCCTGATGGAAGCCCTCCGGGGGCCTGACCTGGCCCCCGGGCCACATGTTTGACACCCCAGTCCTAACTGAGCCTTTTCAACTGGAGATGCCGGGGATTGAACCTGGGACCTTCTGCATGCCAAGCGGAGGCTCTTCCACTGAGCCACGGCCCCTCCCCAATACACACACGAAGCGGCCTCATACTGAAA